CATACATCACATGATAAACTATCATACATCACATGATAAACTATCATACATCACATGATAAACTATCATGCAGCACATGATAAACTATCATACATCACACGATAAACTATCATACATCACATGATAAACTATCATGCAGCACACGATAAACTATCATACATCACATGATAAACCATCATACATCACATGATAAACTATCATACAGCACACAATAAACTATCATACATTAAATGATAAACTATCATACATCACATGATAAACTATCATACATCACATGATAAACTATCATACATCACACGATAAACTATCATACATCACACGATAAACTATCATACATTAAATGATAAACTATCATACCTCACATGATAAACTATCATACAGCACATGATAAACTATCATACATCACATGATAAACTATCATACATTAAATGATAAACTATCATACATCACACGATAAACTATCATACATTAAATAATAAACTATCATACCTCACATGATAAACTATCATACAGCACATGATAAACTATCATACATCACATGATAAACTATCATACATTAAATGATAAACTATCATACCTCACATGATAAACTATCATACATCACACGATAAACTATCATACATTAAATGATAAACTATCATACATCACATGATAAACTATCATACATCACATGATAAACTATCATACATCACACGATAAACTATCATACATCACACGATAAACTATCATACATTAAATGATAAACTATCATACCTCACATGATAAACTATCATACAGCACATGATAAACTATCATACATCATATGATAAACTATCATACAGCACACGATAAACTATCATACATTAAATGATAAACTATCATACCTCACATGATAAACTATCATACAGCACATGATAAACTATCATACATCACATGATAAACTATCATGCAGCAATCAAGAGCAACAGTCCGGACAAACAAAGACGCTGTTTGACCTTGATTTATGACCTTGACCTTGAAGGTGGGGGTGTTGAAAAGTGTACACAACACTCTAATGATGATGCATGCGTGTGTGAAGTTATGGGCGGGACGTGGTAAACTTCACGTACGTAGGCTCAGGCTAATCACGGCCACACTTGTTCCTTCCTGCAGGTGATAAACCGTGGCCTGCTGCTCGGTGCAGCCGGAGCGGTGGTCGGAGGCTCCTACCTGCTCGTTAAAAACCCCCCAAATATCAACAAGCTCCTCACTCCCGCCGAGCACATCTGGACCAAGCTGGTGGCCCTGAAGTCCTCCTGATGGCCCAGATCTGACAGCAGCTGCAGCGATACGAGGGAAACACCACCTTTAATTAAACTTTAATTAAACCGTCTTTGTCAGAATGAAAGATGAGCCAAGCTGCTCGTGTCAGACGGATCAAAAGTTCGTTAGAGTCCAGTTTGGGTTCTTTGTTGTTCTGACTGGTTCCTCTGAGAGTTGATGCATTTTTTACCTGCAGATGATTGAACTTTGGCTCCAGAGATGTAAACAATACTTTCCCACCATAACGCTGCCATAATTTATGAATATATTCTGGTATGATTGTGTCCTTCTCACGTTTTGAAGGAAAATAAAAACCTCTCAACACCTTCAACTATTGTTTGGTCTGCTGCCGGGCAGGTCACATCAGTTCAACGGGTCAAACGAGGGATCTTTTTTTAAAAATCAGCCTTTTTTTGTTGCATTTTGTGGAAGAGGATTAAAGTCACGGAGCAAAATAATTTTTCCCCTAATTCAGAGGAAAAAAAAATCAGAATTCTGAGATTAAAGCCAGAATTTTTAGATTAAAGCCAGAATTAAGATAGATGGGAGTCCGACTTTTAATTATATATTTTTTATGTTTTTCTCAAATTAAGTGAAAATTATTGCATCGTGGCCTTAATCCTCTTCCAGAGTATTTGCTCTTAAAGCCATAAAAATATTTTTACATTTCCAACGGGTCAAAAAGTCCATATTATGAAAATTTACGTTTCAAGGTTTAAACGCTTCCATGTGAAAAAAAAACGAACTTTTCTAAACTATTTCTGCAGCATTTTGTTCCCTTCACGCTCGACCTCTTTGTCCCTCTGACGATCACGAGCAGAGGTGATTACTGAGTGGAGCCAGCTGAGCTGAGTGCAGATGGGACGTGGAAACGGTTCGTTCAGAACTCAGGAAAATACTTAACTGAAACAAACATGGCTGAAAAACAACAAGAATAAACTCAACATAAAAAATAAAACACGAAACCTCAAAGATCGTGACATTTCTGTGGTGGTTTGGAACAAAATGAGCAGCTAACACTTGTGGTGCCGCCGAGGGCACCACCTGCACGAAATTTAAAATATTTCCAACAAATATACGATTTCCAGCCGGGGTGTCCAGTCCTGGTCCTGCAGGCGTTCTCTGCTCCTCTGCTCCAACACACCTGATCATGGTCGATTCACCTCCTAGCCTCTTCATCAGCCACTGATTGAAAACAGGTGTTGGAGCAGAGGAACGCCTGCAGCATGGTGGCCCTCCAGGACCAGGACTGGACACCCCTGATGTAAAGATTAAAATAACATGAACACTACTCCGTGAACCGACACCTTTTAACGTGTGGAGGAGTTTGTGCGTCTGATTGATCCTACGAGCTTTGATGTCTGGGACATTTGTAATGGACCCTGGTTGGGTCTCCCTAGACAGACTGGTTCTAGGTGACAGACCAAAGAGCGAGCCAGAAGACCCTTATGGACATAAAAAACAAGGTCCCTTGCCTGGACGTGGGTTACTGGGCCCCACACTGGAACCAGGCCTGGGGGAGGGGCTCATCGGCGAGCGCCTGGGCACCGGGTGTCTACCCGTGGTAAAACCCCGAGATACTTGAACTCCTCAACTTTTTCATGATATTCTAATTTTATGACCAGCACCTGTATATTATATATATAAAATATATATATTATATATAATACATGGTGGTGGTGGCCATCTTGGATGTTGATGAGGCAACACAGTTTTCAGTAGTGACCTTTCTTACACTGGCTGCAGCCACACACCAAACTGGAAGCCGGACGGCGCCTCTCTTCTTCTTCAAGTTATCCCGCTCACAAAACGAAGAGGGGGTGCGTTTCCAATTCCCCACTTGGCTCCGAGACGATCATGTATTAAAAATGATGTGGTTTAAACGAAGTTTGTACATGAACCACTTCACACATTTTTAGAGCCGAGTTCTTAAATGCAACTTTAGTCTTATCCGAGCTGCTGCTAGCTCATCGGTCTTTATGTAAAAGTTTAAACTAAACGCGTCCACGTCTGTAATTTGTCCTCTGAAGACTGCCGCAGACGATTTTCTGTCTTTGGGTGGTAATCTGGGATTGTTCCAGTGCGGCATCTTGTTCTTCTTTAAGCAAACGGTAAAAACCACCGAAGAAACTCGGTCCCATCCACAGAGAGTGTCTTTTATTAGACGTGGACATCCATTCATTATGTCTATTCATAGCCGACAGCCCCGGAGCTCTGCTCTCATCTCATCTCATCTCATCTCCTCTTTCTTGATTACACCAAATATTTCCCGGCGTCCACACACGTCACACTGAAAACGCAGAAGACACAAACCAGGTGGCCTAAAACTGAATCTCTTATTGACTCACTCATGTAACTGAAGCTTTTCTTTACATTTGACACATTTACTCTTGAGCACCAACTAAAAAACTGAGCTTGAGTCAAACGTGGCTCCAGAAGTGGCTCTAAAGACTCAACACACGACTGTTGTCACACAAACGCCTCACGACGGGATCCAAACAGGAACCACGTGTCGGACCGCTCTGCAAACAAGTGATCCGATACTCCTTCACCTCTCACTTTCATTAACTGCACGCACAGGACATACGGCAGAACCAAAACACTTTATTTCTAACCTTGACAGCAAAAAATAATAAAAAGTGTCAAATATTAAGCTACATACATAATAACAGTATTTATTCCTGCTAAAATACTATACTTCATAGTATAAATACACAGTTTGTATAGTGCTACAGTCCTGTGAGCAGTTGGGCGGTACTGCCGGGTGGAGGTAGTTCTGTCCTGATGATGGCGGTCAAACACCAGAACCTTTCTGCACAAACATCCGACATGTTTACAGTAGAAACAGTTTAAATTCCACTAAAACGGGAAAATCTCACCTCTGTGAACCAACTCCTGAAAGAGTGGCTGAACTTTGAACACTTTGATGAACCGAAGGACCGAGGTCGTGTCGTTTGGACCCAGCGATGCTGATCCGGGTCAGCAACAAACGGTGAGGCTGGACGACCTTTATTTCAGCTTTTATCACTCGAGACAGCTGGCCAAGGTCAAACGGTTGAGTTTAGTCCGAGTTTTAATCTCGACTCGACGTCAGCTCCTCTTTTAGCTGACGTCAGAAAACCAGAGCACTTCTCTCCTCGTGTTTTTATCCTTAGACTTTTTATTTAGTTTGAAAATTTTAAGTGTTTTGAGGTTTTGTTTTTTTTATCTGTGGCTAACGATGTCGTATGTATGAATAAAGTTGTTCTCTAACCGCCAATAAAGCAGCAGAAGAAGAAATGGCGTGGAGGACCGTCGATGAACGAGCGAGCAGAAAAGGGATCTGGGGGCTCTAACCACAATCCAACAGCTCCTCCATCGCTGTCATCAACCCAATGAGTCTGTATTCATAACTCTATATGGCTGCAGGGTTTTAAACACTGGTGTTCCACAGGGTTGTGTGCTATCACCACTTTTATTCTTGTTATAGATAAGCGAGTTGCGACATAACAACAAAGACTTCACATTAACTAAGTCTTCTGATGACATGGCTCTAGTTGCTGGTCTGACAGACACCAACAGCCCCTCACTCCCAGCTCATAGACCAGCTCTCTGCCTGGTTTGAGGACAGTTTTCTGGACCTTAATGTCAGTAAAACCAAGGAGCTTTGTCTGGGAGGTAGATGGGGAGCAGCCAGCACCACACCTGTATTCAGGCTTTCTGTTATAAAAGTGCAGGAAGTAGAGCAGGTGACTGAATTTAAATACCTCGGAACAATAATTGACCTTTCAGCCCAACACTGACTGTATTTATAAAAATCCAGACAGCATCTCCACCTTCTGTATAAGCTAAGGAGCTTTAACGCTAACAATAATACCTTGCAGTTGGTGTACAGGTCACTGGTTGAAAGTGCTGGTTCCTTTAATATCGTCTCATGGTCTGGGAACCTCCCAGCCAGAGACAGGAACAAGTTCTCTCAAATCATTGGTCATCAACAAATGCAACCTACAGACCTGCACAGTCCGGCTCTGGAACAAACGTCAATCCAGGTTTACAATGACCCAACTCACCTGCAACCATTATTCAGGTTGGTACCATCAGAAGACTGCTGGTTCCTCTGGTAAAAGAAATGGGAACAAAAAGTCATTAGTTCCCTCTGCTGCGAGCAGGTTCTATTTAAACGCAGCTTCACATGATGAACCATCGTCTGCGGAGATGTTTTATGGTTTAATGTATTTTAGAATTGGTTTTATTGGCTTAGCAAAGCTTTTTAAAGTTTTATGGAATTTTTTAACTTGTGTTGTTTTGGACGTATGAGCCAGATGTCAAAGATAAATCTCCATCTCAATCAATATTATGGGCAATAAAGTTATATTGATTGATTGATAGATTATTAAAAAGCATCAGAGAAGCGTCTGACTTATTGTCCCAGAACAAACAAGCCAGCGAGTCGGCATAGAACCGGGCCGACCGCCACCGGGCTGAGCAGGGACAACAGGGGGACAGAGGACACGGTCCAAACCTCCACCCTGGGTCACCGATGAGCCTGAGAAGCTGCTGAAGGAGCAGCAGCCGACTCCAGGACGCTGAGCAAAGACGCCGAGCGAAGACGTTGAGCGAAGACGCCGAGCGAAGACATTGAGCGAAGACGCCGAGCGAAGACATCGAGCGAAG